ATACACCATCAAAGACTTTCCCAGAGGCTGCACTTGGCTATGACAACTTTCAGACTTTCCTTGTTTTTGAAGACCTTGACAGCTTTGAGAAGTACCACACAGATGTTTTGTAGAATGCCTCAATATTGAGATTTAGCCGTTGTTTTTCTCATGTTTAGGCTAGAGTTATGCATTTTGGGAAGGAAGATAACAGAGATAAAAGCATCATTCTCTTTATATCATATCAAAGGTGCATACTGTCAACATGATATACCATTGTCGATGTTAACCTCAACTAAAGTAGTATTTATCAGGTTTCTCAAACTGTTAAATGACTTTGCCACTGTACTCTTTGAAAGAAAGTCACTATGCATAGCCCACATGAGGAGTAGGGTGTTAAATGCCACCTGCTTTATGTACATTATTGTTTGAAATTCTCCTGTATGGTATATTTATGTATTTCCACATTTATTTATTCATTAATTATATCATTATGGACTCATTCATATTTATTTTATACTTTAGGTTATGATCTAATACTACTTTATTCTGCGGCTCAAATTATTTTACTTTTAGCTATTGAGATCTATTTCAATTGGGTCATCTGGTTCCTTTTATTAGAGATTTTTTCTGCTCTATTTACTCTTCTTATTCCAATTACATGGATGCTACCCCTTTTAAATTATCCCAGTGTTTTTTATCCCAGTTTTCTTGAACTCTGTTCCATTCTTTTTTCTTTTTTTTTTCCTTTTTACATTTCAGTTTCAGAAGTTTCTATCTTCAGGCTCACTTATTCTTTCCTCAGCTGAGTTAATTCTACTGATGAGCCCGTTAAAGGCATTTTTATTTTTATTATAGTGTTTTTGATTTCTAGCATTTCCTTTGATTCTTCTTAGTTTCCATGTCTCTGTCTGTATTGCTCAACTATTCTTGCATGTTGTTTACTTTTTATATCTTAACATATTCAGTTTTTAAATATTTTATCTGATAACTCCAAAATTCATGTCATATATGAGTTGAGTCTGATGATTGCTTTACTGGGTGATAGGAACTGAGATAGATAGGTCTTTAGTGTAAGAATTTGTTAAACTAGCAAAGATTGTATTTAATGATTTTTGTAGCCTATAGGTACCAGAGTCTTCAAATTTCCCTAGTATCTTTATTTTTATCTCCACTCTTGGGTTGGGGTTTTCCTGAATACTATTCCTCAGAGACATCTGTCTTGTAGCTCTTTTAGCTGTAATCCACTGTTACTGCACTGGCACTGTGTTGGTATCATGGTAAAATATGAGGGACTGGAAAAAGGTCTAAAATATCCTGATTAAATTTCAGTCCTTTAGTTGGCCAGCATCTTGGAGGCTGTACCCTTCATGGGTGTTTCTCCACTCCATTTTTTTCTCTCTCTGTCTCCTACACCCCTTTTTGGTTGCCGCATTCCCAATCTATTTCCTTGAAGCCCTGACCTGTGTAGCCTGTTTTATTTCCCCTTAGTTAAGACAGAAAGGCTGGAAGAGGCTAGGCTGAGAAGAATTCCCTTCCTTCACCTGGGATAAAACTTTGGGAGTTACTTCCCCTGGATAAAAGAACTTTGTTGTGGATAAGGCCCTGGTCATTCTCTCCCTACTCTGACAGAGACAGGAGAGGATCATAGATCTTCATTGTGAAAATTTAGTAGAGTTGCTGGAGGTAAAACCCCCAAATGTGTGGGAATTCCCCTAAGACTGTGGCTCCCAGGAGTTTCTCACTATCGCTAGTACCTATGCTCAACCTCCAGCCATTTTTCAGTGTTTAAGTCTTCCTACCAGTTTATGGGTCCAGCTGTTTCTCTTCCTGGTAAGCAAATCTCAGCTGTGTTCTTTTGAATGCACTTATCTCTGCAGTATGGGTGAAGGTAGTTTTTTGCCCCATGCCCCCAGTTCTCTTATGGTTCCAAGAAAAAATATTAATTTTCTATTAGTCTAGTTTTTTCTTGTAAGGATGAGAGTGACTAGGGTCTTTACACATCAGATCTAAAATCTGTGTTACTTTTATGTATAAAACACATCTCTTCTTGTTTCCATCTGTGATCATCTTGACCTTTTCCTAATTTATTTTTGTGCCTTTCATTGTTGCTCAGACTTCCAAAAAACTGTCTAAATACAGTTTAAATGAATCTTTGGTAAGAGGATAATTTTTTTTCCACAAAATGTCAGTGTGATTATCTAAGTTAAACATTAGTATTCCAATGTGAGCCATTCTAGACATGGTTTGATGAAATTAACTGAAGATGAGAACCACCAATAAAGAATTTAATCAAGATTAATACCTTCATTTTAAAAGGTTGATAAGGTGGGTGAGCACATTAATGGTTTCATCCATTAAATCTTTTGGTACTAAGAATTGATGTCCTTGTCTTACCTAAGTAAAGAATTTTTATTTCTTGGCAGAAACAAGGTTATTTATAAATTGAAGTATAGTAGTAATTTTTCTCAGTTGACAAAGGTGCAATTTTTGCCTCAAGCCCTTGTCTGGTAGCTCATTGTATACTGGGCTGTTTCTAAATCAGTCAAAGTTTAATAGGTGGAGAGATTAATTATCAGAGAGACTCCCTCCCATTAAAAATAGATTTACCATTTGAAAACTGGTAAACATTGTTTAAACATATTTAAATATTATTTAAGTATTGTTTAGTACAAATAAATTACCTTGTAAAACACTGTCTATAATATGAATCTTTTTTTGTTAAAATATATGTAATCTTATACATACATATTTCAAAAACTAGGTATAACAAAAATATGGAGCAATTACATGTGATTTTTCCTGTTCTCTTTTTTGCTTGTTTTTATTTTCTGAATCATATATAATGAATAAGTAATACTATTGTGACTAGAACATTGTAAACATTAAAACAAAAAGACTAATTCATAAAATTTTAGGACTTAAATAGAATTTGAGGTTTACTTGTTAAGCCAGTTTCTAATTACTTCGGTTGAAGAAAACAGAAAAAACAATCTTCTTGAATCCTCTTTTTTTCCATTTCTGCTCATCAAAATAACCATTCTTAAACACCTAGCTCAAATACACGTCTTTGACATTTCTGTTATAGCATGTCCCATGTCTCTCACCAATTGTAAAGTTCTTCCAGTATAACATTGATAATGAGGAGGAGGAAGGGAATACGAATGATGATAGCTTCTGCTTACCATCTGTCAAGTACTTAGCTATGTATCTTACTTATGTTATTTTAATTTATCCTCACAATACCTTCATGACATAAATATTATTCTCATTCTAAAGATAAAAAAAAGGAAAATCAAACAGCTTAAGAAATTTTAAATTCTCCTTGTCACAACCCACAGAGCTCAGGTTTTTACATAGGTTTGTGTTTCTCCAAAACTTGACATATAGTAGGTACTTGGTAAACATATTTACTAACTGAGAATGTAGAGAGTATTCATGGACCATATTTTCAGTGCTTATCAGTGGCCTGCTGATCCCTCAATTAATAAACAATCAAAAACCAACTTTGACCACAGCTAGTATTTGAAGTTCAGATTCTCTAAGCAAATAGAATTGTTTTCCATTGTGGAAAAATGATCACCACTGCTGCCACCTGGCTTCCTCTCTCTCTCCTATATTTTTTTAAATTTTGTTTGTTTGAAGCATTATTATTTTTTTTAAGATACCACCTTCTTGACCATGCCCTTACCTCTTACCTCCTAGCTTAAATTTTATAACTAAGTAACAATAACTTCCTTAGTTTATACTTTCATAAAAATTATCACATTGGATAATCCTTTCAGAAACAGATAGAACAAATATTATTACTCACATTTTAAGGATGACAAGGCTAAGTCTCCAAGAGGTTAAGTGATTTACTTAGAGTCATAGAGCTCTCAAGAGCTAGGCCTCAAGGAGAGTTCTCTGACTCCAGATCTAGTGTTCTTCCCTACAGGTTATATGGCTGGATAACACAAAGCCATTCTCTTTGTCATGCTTTTTATGACCCACTATAAATTCTCCTATAGCTTGAGTTTCTACTCCATTCTTACTGGACCTTTTATACCCCTTAATTTTTTAGCTATTGTTCTAGAGTTTTTAATTGAATGGAACAGAAACTAACTTTGGTTGATTTAAACAAAAAAAGAATTTGCTAAGAGGATATTGCATAGGTCGGGAAATCATGGAGAAGCATGTTTAGGAACAGGTGGGAACAAGAGAGGAGGGCAGAAGCCAAATCATTGCCCAAATCATGCTGTAGAACACAGGATACCCCTGGACAGCAGACACTTTTCCTGGTACCTCTGGCCTTGCTGCCCCTAAAAATGGGATGTTTTTATCACAACCACCATCTCCTACTACTGGACCGGTTTTCTATTGTCCTTGCTTCTGTGTGTCAGTATCTCTTGTTTCAAAGTCTTGAAAGCGTGTCTCTGATTGACTGAGTATTGATCATGTGATCACACTCTAGCTTCAGGGGAAGTTGGGAAACCAAATAAGTACTTTTAGCCTCTGTCATGGGAGGTAAGCTCTTCCTCCCCTCAAGATTCATTAAACACATACTTCATTAAACATAACAAGAAGTTGAAATAATTGAAAGTCCCCAACCATGGCCAAAAAATTGACCAAATTCCAATTTAAATTTCAATTTAGTTTTGTACATTCTTTCTTTGGCCTAACTTTCTTGGAGACAAGAAACATTGAATTTACAACCATGATTCAGTTGTTACTCAGCCAATAATTACCCTTGCTCTACAGCATTCTGAAGGATCTAAACTTGTCATATGTTTCATTCATCTTCTAAGAAATTCCTTTTTCAACATTACTCTCTAATATTTCTTTCAAATGAGTGAGTTTCATCAGAACCTAACAGCATGAATTTATAAAATACTCTCAAAGCATAAAAACTGTATTTGGCATCTTTCCATGTCTTGGGATTTTAAGATATGTCAGATATGTATTGTTATTTTACTTTAAGAAATCCAAATATTTCTTTTATAAGCAATGTTTCTGAGTACGAATAATCCTTTCTTCTGTAGTATTTTTGAACAGTGGCTCCGAAAGCACCGACCTCTTCAAGAAGTTTATCCAGAAGCCAATGCACCCATTGGACATAACCGGGAATCCTACATGGTTCCTTTTATACCTCTCTATAGAAATGGTGATTTCTTTATTTCATCCAGAGACCTGGGCTATGAGTATAGCTACCTACAAGATTCAGGTAAAGTTCAATTTCTTTCAGATAAATTGCTGAATAAAGTGTTTGAGAGAATATGAAACCATATGTTTTCACAATGTCATCACCAAATCCTTTAAATTAGAAAAGTGCATTGCAATACTTATCAGTAATTTATTACATGAACCAAGTTGCAAGAATCTTTAAATTCATATTCATTCTGCTTAATATACATCTTGTACATGAAAACCATGGAAACAGCACTAGAATTAAAATCAGAAAAAAAAAAAATGGGTTTGAGACATGACTCTATTTGCTGACTATTGTATGACCCTGGAAAATTTTTCTTCAATTCCCTGAATCTCAGTTTCTTAAATTCTGAAATTTGAGATCGGAATACCTTAAAGAGATATTGTGATAATTAAATGAATGTGATGTGTTAAAGGGCAATATGGCACAGATAACATCCAGCAGTTCAGAATCATCTTTGAGAACTTCCTTCCAGATTACCAAGAAAAACTGTGGACATTTTGATTTTAAGTCCAAATAGAATAATAACTATAAGTATTATAATAATAATTGCTATGACTGTAATTAAGGTAGTGATATAAAAATCTAGAATTGTACCTAGATCTGAGTTTTAAATAATCTGAGTAGAACTGTCAGTACCTTCTGGATAAATGAATAGACAATAATGTCTCCCCTTAACTCGAGAGTCTGTTACATGTAAATTCCATACATGCATCATTAATCAACTGTATATTAACTGCTATTATTTCTAGAAAAAGGTAAGGACACTGATAATAAGAGAATTTAAGTGACTTTCCCAACATCAAACACCAATATGTGGAAGAGTCAGATTTCAACACTAGGAGGGCCTCCTAACTGCACTACACTGTGCTTCTAACACTGAGGGTCAACACCTAAAACAGTAAAATGACATATAGCTTGGAATAAGAAGTATTCAACAAACATTGATGTTTCATTATACTCATTGATAATTCTTAAAAACATAAACAGATAAGTAAAACAAAATGAACAAATGAATGACATTTACCAACTTCCCACTTCACATGCTAGACTTTAGTGATACACAAATGACTGACATAATTCTAGACCTCAAAAAGGTCTAGATTAGGCGTGGAAGTAAGAAAATTGTGCAAGACAGTATGAAACATAAGGCTGTGGTAAGTGTAGTAAAAGAGTCATAAATTTCATAGAGGAGAAAGCAAAGACTTCTGAATAGTTCATTCTGAATATAAAGACAAGACTTTGAAGGATGAGCAGGTAGGTGACAGATAGAAAAGGGCAGGGAAGATCCTAAACTAAAAGAATAACAAGAAAAAATAGAGGTGAAAGTGACTGTGCATTTATTGAATGCTAAAGTCTCCTGTTTGAGTAGTGTGAGCAATGGAGAAATTCATTGAAGACATAAAGTTAATCCTTTCATAATAGCTGAGACATATTGAGTATTTTTTATGTGCCAGGAATTCTTCTAAGTATGTCGTGTTCATTATTTCCTTAAATCTTCATAACTACCATATGAAGTAGGTACTATTATTTCCTCTTCCTTTTCATAGATGAGAAAACAGAGGCTTAAAGAATATAAGTTACTTGTCCTAGGACATCTAGCTAGTATGTGGCATAGCAGAACTATGATGTAGGGCCAATAAGAGAAGCTGCATTTTATCGACCTTTTCCCGCCCTTTGGAGGACCACTAATTGAACAGATTTCGGTTTGATTGATCTGCTTTGCTTTATATGAAGAGCCAATGGAGAAAATATTAAAATGGCTGAAAAAGATTAGTTCTTTGAAAACCTTAAGATCACTGAGAACAAGATTTTGCAAAGAGTAGAGGTATAGTAAGGGAAGGGGCTTCCTGTGAGTTAAAAGAGGGACAGTCTCAAGTAATACATTTTCCATTCCTTGTGTAAATAAGTATCTACAGTACATAAAGAAAGCAGCATATTGATTATGGTTTTTCAAAGATTCACTACTTAGGATATTATGATTTCCATTCTAGACCATGCCAGATTTTCCATTGGCTCAGGCTTTTGAATAATACTGTTCTCTTTCGCTAAATTCTGATCCTATTTTCTCACTTGTTAAACTCTCAGATATCGAATCATTTTATACATATACATCGTCATTTTTAATCACTTCTTTATTAGAGTTACATGAAAAGTTTTCTAAGGATAAATTTTTCCCCTCTCTACCTTGGCTGTGAGCCCTACAGATCAGAATTGCTATCTAACAAGCTTTTCCAATCTAAGTGCCAACTGGTATCTGGTATAGAATGAATCAGTTTGAGTGCAAGTGATATTTATTATAAAGGGTGGTATCTCTTAACCAGGAAAGGAAAGCTTGCTAGAAAAATGTCACCCCTCTTAACACCCACGTCATTTTTAGATATGTATTTTTACCATATTTCAAATCTTCTATCACACTAGGTGTTTTCTAGGTGGCTTTATTGATTGATTGATTGATTTCAATATATGTATGTTTAATACCTACATTGAAGAGGCATTATCTTAGATATTATGGATACAGCATCAAGCAACAAATCCTCTGTCTTCACAGAGCTTACATCCTAATTGCAGAGAAAGACTTTAAACAACTACTTTCCTAATGACTCATTTATTTAGATTTGTGCCTATCTCTAGGGGTCAATGAAGTGACATTTCAGAGGATATTGGTAGGTATGACAGGAAGAATTAATTGGTTGATAAAAGGCTCTTTTATTATGGATTCTGGCCATATTGTTAGAATAATGGAAGACGTTAATGGATTTTAAACAGATCATGGTCAAATTTAAATTTTCGAAAGATTATTGTTTTATAGCATGTAGGAAGTTTTTGTAGCAATGGCAAAGCATATTTAGGGAGGCAGTGAAAACACTATTATAAGTGTCCAGGGGAAAATGAAGGCTTAACTGCAGCAGTGGTGGTAGGAAAGGAGGAGGAAAGCACAAAAGAATTTGATGTTATTCGGAAAATAAAATCTACAGAACTTGGAAAATAATTTTTATACTAGGTGAGAAAGAAAATAATTTTTATAGTAGGTGAAGAAGAAAGAAGAAAATAATTTTTATAGTAGGATGCATTTAAGCTTTCTGGCCTGTGAAAATAATGAATGGTGGTACAATTCAGAGATAGTAACAATAGGAGCAGGGCCAGACATAGAGAGAATATCATGGTTTCCTTTGTTATATAATGAAATGTAAATGGGGTGATATGAGACATCAGGGTAAATACGTCTCTGGGGCAGTTGAATAGCCTTGAAACTCAGAAGAGACTTTTGCCTACAGACACTAATGTACGAGACATCAGCATATAAATTGTTATCTCTGCCGATTTTCACAATCTTATGTAGTAATGATTTCTATTCCGTTTTATAAGTAAGTAAATTGAGAACAGAAAGATAAAGTGACTAATGAAAGTCACAAAGCTAGTAAGTGGCAAATATGGAATCCCAGACTAATTCTTTCTCCATTACTCCTTGGAAGAGAGGGTTCTCCTTAGTCCCCATGTGTCTTGTACACATATGTTCCGCCTCATTGTTCCTTCCATAGTGTCAAATGGGTCCTTTTTACTGAAATGAAACAAAAACCATTACAAGAATAAAGGGAGAAGAGACTCAAAAAGTCACATTAGGGCTTAAAAATTTTTATTATTTGAGTTAATTTTTTTAAAAATTAAATAAAGGAAATCATATTTATTATGTAACCTCTATGCACTGTGCATTTTGTTAGACATTTTAAATGTACTACATATTGAAGTGACTAATAGTGATATAAGCTGGGCATTTATAGTCTCATTTTCAAAATAATTTTAAAATATATTAAAAGCAATAACTTTTATGTTTGATGAAAAAAATTTATTATATTTTTAAATTTCTTTTTAATTTTAGCTTTATTGGCTTTCATTGTTTAGATTTAAATTAAGCTCAACTTTTATCTTCTTTGAGTGAATACTGGGCTTTAACATAAAATTAGTTTTTAACAAATTCTCCCAATTGAAAAAGTAATATTTATGTTTTAATCGTTCTGAGCATTATTGAGTTTATGGTGAAAATGAAACTCTCATTTTATGTTTTACTTTGTGTTGCTACCCATTCCTTCCAAGGTATTTTGTTAAATAAATATTCCTTTTCTCCTCAGTCTGTAGATTTCTTTTTTTTATTGTATATAAAGTTTACATATAATTGTAACTCCAGAATATCCTAAGGTACTTAACTCTATCTTTTATTGTAGTAGGTATATAATTAACTTAAAATAATTGAGCAAAGAAATGAGATTAGATAAAAGGGGATTTATTGGTTTACAAAATTCAAGAAACAGGATGAGCATTCAAACTGTGGGAAAGGCAGAAATGCAGCTGAGACTGAGACAATGAGAACTAGGCAACTAAATCGCCCTAAAGACAGACTACCTCCCTTCTCCTCTTCCTCCTCCACTTTCTCCCTCTCCCCTTCCTTTTCTCTCTTTTTTGACTCTTGTCTCTACTTGGAGTGTGTTGACTTCATCCTATCTTTCACAGAAGTAAGGTATCATCAGCTCCTGAGCTATCTGACTCTCAGTTCCAGCACAGTGTATAAATCAACTATAGCCAAGGAAAGTAATCATAAAGGTTCTAGTTTCTGCATCAACAAGTGTGGGAAGATAGAGATGGAGGGCAGATCTAGGTTCAAATATCCAAGGCTTAAGTAAGTTAATTCGTTACTCATATAACAGTCTTGGTATGTTGTCAGATAAAAAATTCAAAATTTCAGGGACCAGAGCAGCTCCTTCCTTATAGTTCAATAAGACCTAGGGTTTAACCTGAACCACGTGGTCCATGATGATTCCCCAAGACACTAACCACATTCTGCCTAAGGAAAAAGGAAAAAGCACACCCTTTAAGAGAATTGCCCAAAAGTTGCATATATTACTTTTGCTTAAGACTTAAGTCACATAGCCATAAATTATGGCAATGTTAAGCCATATATGCACCCTCTTCTTTCCATTGTCTTACAAAATGGATATAGAGTATCATAGAGTAGCTTATAAGTAATGGGTACTTTAAAATCAAGCAGAAGAATACAATAAATTATTAACTTCAAGGAAAAAATGTAAGAAAAGAAATGAAATGATAGCATAATATTTGGTTCAACTGTGAATAATATCTAAATAATAAAAATAATGAAAATCCTAGATGTGGAATTGACCCCAAATCATACTGTTATACTGAAAAGACTGAAAGAAGAAAAGGGAAGTTGTAAAAGAGCTAAAATCATTATTTATATTTGAGGAACTTCAGAGATAAACTTGATAAATTAAGAAATAGTAACATTTGCCTATTATTTATAAATATGGAGGCAAATACCAGCATGAATAGCTAAAAGAGTTACAGTAGCTGTACAGCACTGTACAATTTATAGATCAGACATTATCTACAAACTTTAAAACATATCAAAAATGTGGTATTGTTTTTCTATTTTCCTGATGAAGAAATTGAAGCTTAGAAAGGTTAGGTGTAACTTTCCCAAGCTCTTACAGCTAGTAAGTAGCAGAGCAGGCATTCAAAACCTAAGCATGATGATGGTGATGGTAGTGGTGGTGATGATGACAATGGCAGTAAAAACATTGGGATGTCTTTCTATTTTAGAACCGGACTTTTTTCAAGATTACATTAAGCCCTACTTAGAACAAGCAAGTCGGATCTGGCCATGGCTCATTGGGGCAGCTGTTGTGGGGTCTGTCCTCACTGCTGTGCTGGGAGGGATTACTATCCTGATACGTCGTCATCGCAAGAGAAAGCAGCTCTCTGAAGAAAACCAGCCACTCCTCATGGAAAAGGAGGATTACCACAGCTTGTTGGATCAGAGCCATTTATAAAAGGCTTAGGCAACTGAGTAGAGCCAAAAAGCCTGACTTCACTCTAACTCAAACGATGTTCAAGTCTCCAAAAGATGTCCCAACAGAAATCCCTGGTATTTGTCTATTAAGGCCATTATTAGAACTGTAATCTAATGCAAAGTATACCCTACTTCTAACTCAGGTAAAACACACCTGTGCTTGCCTTGCTATTTTTTAATCATCTCTTTTGCAGTTTTCCTCAAGCCAATATTTCCAAGTAAATGATGCCATTTGGTAGTGAGTACTTGCTACTTGTATCTGAATAAAAATGATAAAATGTGGAAATATTTGACTTTTTCTTTTTGATTATTTAACTTTTCTTTTTATTATTTCCTTTCTTTGATTTTAGCAAAACAGTAAAAACAAATTTAAACTAATTGACTCCTTTGAGCTTGATAAATACATTTTTATTTTTCTCAGAAAGCATAATAAATTTTACACCCCTGCTCCAAAATGTGTTATGGACATCAAGCATAAAACAACCTTTGGCTCTTACATGCCACAGTCTTGAGTACACTTCTGAAGGTCACTGAAAACAACGGCCTGCCCCTACAGAAAATCTGGCTAAATGCCTGTCTCAATACCTGCTCATTAAACATGTTGACAATCACAATAATAATCCTATTAAGAGCTTTTATTTTATCTTCTAAGAAGAATTTCATTTTATTAGAGAATGTTTAAAATGCTACAAAACATTTAAAGGTTGAGAACAATTATGTGAATATCAGCCTGTCTGCAGTTCTACTAAAATAACATTTCTATTTTTCTTGGCTATTAAGACCTTAAATTAGTATGTCAAGATAATCCTGCTACTTGAATTTCTGGGTCCTGTTGAATTTCTAAAAATAGCACAATTGATATTACATTTGTATTGTAGCTATATATGGCATAAAAGACTAAGACCGGTGGGTGGAAGTTATTGGGGTCCAATAAAAGGAAAAACTGTCCAATACTCTGAGCTTTCCAAAACCAAAATTGGCATCCTTAGAAAATAAGTGGTTGCCACTGTAATTCTTCACATATAGGTTGGATGGCTAATTTACCTTGAAGTCCATAAAGAGAATTTAAGTATTGCGTCTATAGTAATACTTATTTAAATCGGCTCAGGACTGTTAACAACTCCCTATTCCGGCACAAGGCCAAGCATGCTGTATAAAAAGGCCCTGTGATTCTGCTACAGTATTCAGGGCATTTCACTTCCACCTTCTCATCCAAACTCATTTGCTCTGTCTTGGCATCCTCAGCCTTTTCAGTTCCTTTATGCCCATTTTATATTTTTGCTCAGCATTTTCAAATACGTACTTCAGTTTGACTGCTTGATGTACTTCCAGCATCATCTCTGAACATGTCCTCTCACTCTCAATGCCATGCTTTAAAGACAGACTTACACGATTCCTGCTCCTGGAATCTGCCTGGGTCTGACGCCTGGACCTCTACATCTCTGAGAGAGAATTAAAGAGAAGACTCACTGACCTATATGGTACCTTTCAACTAAAATAGTCTACATTTCCTGTAAAGTCTGAAGTGTAGTGTTCAGATTATTTTTAAAAAGCATTTAAAAGGGAATTGACTTAAAAAAATAAAAATTGAGCTGTGGAAAATGCCTTTATCTAGAAAAGACTCACCTAAAGTCAAGATCACATAATTTTAGATGGTCACATTTCACTTAGTCCCAGTTTGGATTTCAAAAAAAGCACAAAATCATCCTATTATACACATCGGTCCTATGATTTTGGTTAATTATCATCTAGAATAAATAGAAATTTATAATTATTGCTGGAATAATGTCAGATGCCCAGAAATTACAATTAATAAACTGAGTTATAAAGCAATATTCCTCTTCTAACTCTCGATAGTTGTCAGACTTATTTGTTAGCTTGTCTAATTTCTGATCCTTAGTAGAGAAAAGTCAGGCAAGGGATAGGGAGCAGCACACTTACTGACACAGAGAGGGTCTGTGGAACTAGAGGGCAAATACTGGGAATTATAAGCCTCAACTTGGGGCATAACCAGAAAAAAGTTTTAAATAAACTAGCAATGGCATCTGAGGAGTGGATTCAATTTAGTTGGGAATTGGAAATAATAAAACTGAGAACAAGGAGTAGAAAAAGGAATCTGGATAACGGTATGTAGAAGATTCTGGAGAAGCAGTAACAATGACTGTGGTTGCTTTTACTCTGATGTCAGAACGCAAAACAATTACTTAGCTAGGTTTGATTTGAAGGCAAAATTTTAATCCAGAAGATATTTTAATCATTTTTTACAAAGCATCTTGAATAAAAGTCCCAAAGAATTTTCATTGTCACTGACAGAGATCTATATAAAGTCTTTTTTTTTCTTTATCACAAGGCAATTCCCTCCTATATCAATGCACTTCAATTGAGAATATTGCTTTCTCTCTCTAGAGGCTCAAGGTAACTACTTTTGTAGCAGTAACACCTGTGATAAAATCACCACCACAGAGATTCCATGGTTTTCTCAATAAGGTACCAAAATTACATGACTGATATTTCAAGACACCTAGCAGTTTTATTAAATTCTAATCAGCATTTAATTCTGTAGCATTGTTTTATAGTATAGGTTTTATAAATTGATCCTTCTTTGGTTCTGTTCTTTTTCTAATGTTATAAGTAACATTTTGTTATAGAGGAAAAAATAAGTAGCTGCCACTTTTTGTTCCTCTGTGTTTTAGTTATAAAAAAAAAAAAAAAAGAGTATATTTAGTATCTAACCTTTCCAACAAGTCAAATATGTAATTCTCTATCTGTAGAAATAAATATGTGATGGGTACAAGTCATTTCAGCCAGTGTTTCTAGCAGGCTGACAACTGGCATTGATTATGAATGTTTTAAAATAGCCCTTTCCTTATTTATATGGGCTTTGATTTGTAGAAACAGTTTTGTCACCATAAAAAGGGCTTCAATGGGGCCACCTATTGTAAGCCTGTGCTATTTTGGAGAGCATGTCAGTAGAACAAAGTTCCACTCCCCTTCTGATTAGACTCCTCGGAAAGCTGCTGAAATGCAAGTAAAAAAAAGTTGTTTTTTTTTTACTTTGTGTTGCTTAGTTTCAAAAGCATTTGCTAGTTCATACAATACAATGAAGATAAAATTGTTAATGGCAACCACTGGAGGTTTTAAGGGCTTTCAAATTATTCAGCTGTTTATATTAGAATAGTTTAGGTATCTTCTTTTAAATAAAGTCTTATTATAATTCTATATAGCCCATGTTAATCTGTTTCATGAGTTCTTTTCTTAATTGTAATGTAAGAAATTGTTCTTATAACTTCATATTAATCTAATTGTTCTTATAACTTCATATTAATCTGATTGGTGTGTGTGTGTGTGTGTGTGTGTTGATTGCAGATTTCTAATTCCTCACTCAAAGATAAATTACAAAGACGTTACAATTCAGTGAGTCGTTATGATTTTTCCTATAACTGTTAAGTATTTGTTTTATCTTCATGTTATCAAAATGAGAATAAGCATTTGAGTATTCAAATCATACCTTGCCCAGGTTTACATGTCTGTTCAGTAGTTTAGGTAATTTAGCTGGAATTTGAATCCAATTCTTACTAGATGATTCAAAATTATAAATTTCATTATTGCTTATTATTCAAATATGTTGATGTATGACTTACCAGTTCCTCACTACTAGACATTCAGGTTTTGTCTAGCTTATAAATTATGTTTAGTGTTATAAAGAATATCTTGGTGCACATGTCATCGGATTCTCAAATTATTTTCCAGTAGTATCACTCTGGGTCAGAGAAAATGAATAATTTTATGGCTTTTCTAATGAATTGCCTGAGTGCTTTTGAAAAGGGTTGCATGGATTTAAAAATGCAAAGAGGAGTCTAAAAAATAAGAAATCAAAAGGACTGAGGAAGAAAATGAAAAGATGAAGAAGTTATAAGAAGAAAAAAGAGTTGCAATTCTCTTTGAGAAGATCTGAAAACCCTAACTGGAACTTGAAGTATTGCTTCTTTTCATAAAGATGATAGATAGATAGATAGATAGATAGATAGATAGATAGATAGATAGATAGATAGATAGAGATGGAGATAATCTCTCATTTTCAAATCATAACATCTATTTAACGGGTACTTTCTCTCACTAAAATAGAAGTCATCTTAGAGAGCCAGGGAATAACATACTTGTAAATTGGTCCTAAAATATTTTCAGAAATGTGTATGTTTTGGCTAGGTAGAAAGGTTATGTGCCTCGAGAATCATGTAGGAATCAAACAGCAAAACCAGAAATTCACCCTTGGAAGAATAAGTACAGGACATCAAAATAGTCTAAATCAAAGGAGAAACAGGTTCAGCTATTAGAATAGACAAAAGATCATGTAACAGGGTTTGGGAAGGCCAGGAACATTCAAAAACCAAGCCCCAAGACAGATTTGAATACTGTTTTTATCACTTTTTGAACAAATACTTATCAGATTATGTCATTTTTAAACACTTGCCAGAGGAATTGTAAAGAATTGATATGTTTGCATGAGTGCGTGTGTGTGTGAGGACAGAAAGACTAAATTTTTTTTCACCTTTCTCCAATATCAAAAAGAATTTTGTTGCTGAATGTATTACTTTTTTATTGTCACTACAGTAAATTACCATGGACATAGTGGCATAAATAATACGAATGTATCTTGTAATTCAATAAACCAAAAGTCCAATAATGGTCTCATTGGGCTAAAATCACAGCGGCATTAAGGCTGTGTTATTTGTGGAGACTCTAGAAAACAGTTAATTTACTTACCTTTTCTAGCTTCTAGAGGTCATCTATAGCGGGTCCTCGAATAACATCAGTTCCTTCAATGGCGTTCTGTTATACTGATGAAGGAAAAACTCAACTCCCAGGCAGGCCACTGTTCATCTGGAATTTGCGCCTTTTTCCCACACCTACGTGGGTTTTCTTGGCATCCTCTGGTTTCCTCCCACATCTCAAAGATGCGCATGTGAGGTGAACTGGCCTGTCTAAATTGTCCCAGTCTGAGTGCATGTGGGTGCAAGTGAGTGAGCCCTGCAACGGAAGGGCGTCCTGCCCAGGGCGAATTCCGCCTTGCGCCCTGAGCTCCGGGGATAGGTTCTGGCCACCCACGTGACCCGGAACTGGGATAAGTGGATTGGAAAGTAATTACTTTACTTGTTTTAATAAATCTTTATTAAATGTAAGTATAGCTCACATTTATTTCAATATCTAATATTAGAAGTGTTTGGGGGGTCTTTATTTAAAAATTTGGGATGTTTTTGTGACCAAAAATATGCTGAACAAGCTTAACTCATGTTTATATCAATTAGCCTTGGCTAATGTTTATATCAATTAGCCTAGGCTAACCTAAAATGGTATTGGTAGCTG